GAAATTAAAATATTATATATATATATATATACTTATTTATTCATTGTTCTTTCATTCAGTTTTAAAGTTGACTTGTCTTAATACAAATATATTTATTATAAAATATATATTTTTTATTTTAAACCTGTTTATTCTTTCATTTACAATTTTTAACTTGACCTTTATCTTAATACAAATATTTACATTTAAAATTAAAAACATTATTTTTTAATTATATTTAATATATAATTTAATTCCTAGTTATCCTATTTAATATATATTTATTAATCTTGAAAGTAACAATTTACTTAATATATAAATTGATATAATGTCTATAACATATATTGTGTAATTATAATTAAGTTGTTTAATTTTCCATGTTCAATCTAATCCATCTTTACAAAAAAAAAAACGTTTTAAAATGTATCTGTTCTTTCACGATGATTTTAGACTTTGACTTAATATATATGTAAATGCTTTTGATTAACATCATTATGATGTAAATTACATAATTATATTTATCAATATGCTACAATTTCTCAAGTATCAGGCTGCAACAACCAACAGGTTCGTCTTTCTGTTTGCGGTTCTTGTCATTTAGTGCTGGTTAATTCCAGCACTTGTGGTTGTGCCAGCTGGTTTCATGTTTTATTCTGGATCTGTGCCACTCGAGACCAGCCGGTCTCATTAATGCAGTTTCCGTAAACATTCGCAGGTTTCCTGGTGTTAAATAATGCGATTAGTGCCCAGTAGGCCAATTCAGATGTTAGCCACAGAGTGGACGTTATTTTCTCACAGCAGTCGTTGAATCAAATTACATATGTGTCAATGTGTGTGTATGGTAATGGGTCTTCATGCGTTTTCCCTTGCTGCCAGTATCCATGGTAACGACAGGTCTATCATCGCTGTCGGTTGAGAGGGTCTTGAGTGGAAATGATGGACCATCTCCATGCGCTTCAAATGACATACCCGCCCTCAAGGCACGGAGTCACCACACAGCAGCGTATCTACTGCCCCCTAGTGTCTGAAGATGACATTACTTGCGTTTGTACTAGGGCGAAATGTGTGGATGACCACAAGTATGAGAAATAACAATAGTGATGCTTGACTTAACCAGTACAACTTGGTAATTAGCAAGAAAGCACCTGAAGAGAAGTCATAAATTATTCACTTTTTTTGTTTTGTTTTCAGTGTACTGTTCCTTTAAGTCACTTTTTCAGTAAGTCATACTCTCCCTCAAGAGTGAAGGGAGATTGAATGGAGCATGGAGAAACCTGTTGAGGAGCACTGGAGCAGACCTGGGAAATATATACGAGCGTGTTGAGAATTCATTTTCACTGGCAGCTTCAGGCAATCAGGCTGATTGCATTTTCAAGTGTTGTGGGATCGACACGGAAGACGTTTTTGCAGGAGGTCTGGGTGATTCACACGCTGAGCTCTGCTGCCATCTGTTGGACACTTTACATTTGGCAGCTTTTTATTTTTAATGGATATTGGTCTAAAACAATCTCCAGTTTTGAAATGGTCATTTTACAAGGGCATTTAAATGGATTGACGACCTATAACTATCCAGTGTTGAAGCTACTTTTAACATTTAGTTGCTAGAAGCTGTTCATAATTTAAAGTAGCTAACTACAGCAAAGCTTACAAAGATTACACTGCAAGCTCCTTACCAAAACATTATGAAAACTAAGAAAAATAGTATTTTCAAAAGTGCAAGTTTACTGTAGTTTAACTACTTTGAGTAGGTAGTTTGTTGAAGATTATTAGATTAATGTTGCTATTGAAGTTATTTTTATTCAAATCAGTTTTTATCTGGATCTCAGTAAGAATGGCTAATGAAAATGTGCTTTGTCATGCTATACATTCTTGTTGGAAAATATAGCTTGTTAATGGAAATGCAACATTTGGAAAACAGTGTCATGCTTCTGTGAAATGTATTTAAGTTTCATTTTATAACTATTGCCACAAAGAGTTGTTCTTCCTCCATTGCATCCAAACCTCTGTTAATTCCACCCCTACATAGTCCAGTTTATGTCTATTGAATTCTGTCCATCCAGTCAAAGAAAATAAATAAAAAACTCTGGCTGTCATAGTCGTCAATAGAGATCAATCAGTAGAGCAGCTGTGCAACGAGAAACTATATGTTTTAAAGACAGGCAGCTAGTCTTAAAACTAATGCCTCCAGTTTGCTTCCAATCACTGTGCTTTGAAAATAAACCCTTGAATCTTTGTGATCTGACCAGAATCAATCACACACAATCTAGGACAGAAAACATGCAGCAAATCACCTTCAAAGGGTCTTGTTCATGAAAATACTATGAAAATGACTTAATTTGTATTAATAAATCCATTCTTATTCCAAATGGTCCCTTTGAAATGAACACAAAACTGTATGTAAGAAGGTTTTACATATATATTACTTTAACCCCAAAATTGATTCTGCTCTTGTTCCATGAATTAAGGTGATAAAACTTTGATGAAGTGCTGAAATTCCCTTCAGTTTATGAGCTGCATTGAACGGGAAGTTTAGTCAAGCAAATGCATGCTAGATAAGCGCAGATATATCATGAAAGGTGTTGGGTTTGTGTACTTCAGTCTTTCATGCATGATATTGTACAGTATCGCTTCCTCTGAGCCACAGCCACACACATGCACACATGTTGATATCTTGGCTTTGCTCGAAACTCTTCAGTGTTTATTCATGAGCTGATAAACCAGCAACAGTGACGCATTCAGTATATACTGTTTATCAAAGCATAACGGCTGCTGTGCCTTTTATCACCTAATGAAAAATCCCATGACTCTGTGCATCTGGATTCATGAAGCAGATATTATGTGATAGAAACTGCCCGGATTATTATCCTAAGTGCTGAAATGCGCAATGAAAGGCGATCTGGTGCTGACATCAGATGCAGGTTGCACTGGGACTATTCCTTGTCCGAGGGAGGGAGTCTGGGGCCAGGAAGTGCATAACATCCCAACAGCGCCATTCCTCTTCAGATGTCCCGATATGAAGGGAGAGACAGATTACTGGGGATGTCATAGTGCTCGACACCATTTCTGAAGAGATCATTGATGCTTTTCCATCTCTAGCAACCAGAAGATCAAGTCTGGATTGACTTATTTGGGGCCATTACATTTTTTTGGACATCTAGAATACTTCAAAATGACATCTTAAGTGTAACCAAGCAAGCTGAGAAGGTTTTATCTGTGTTCTTCATTTCACTATTGTCCAGTTTTTGATTTAACATCATGGTACGGATCACATGCACCATCTCCTTCAGCACCGACGACGAGCCAGTTGGTCGCTCGCGCCAAGGCAGCTTCGATGATCACTACAAGCGCGTAGTGTGGTCAAGAGATGGCGAACACGGCAAGTACCAGGAGGAGGGTGACGATCCGGACACATACGATGGGACGGAAGAAGAAGAAGTGCCCGATATCAGCGTTGCCACGTTTTTTGGCGGCTGCTCCCTCCATGGTGCCAACCACGTCTTTGTGGAGGACAAGAAGTTCAGCATCCGCCGGGGCTTGTGGGCGGTGGTCTTCCTGTTGGCCATCTCCATGTTCCTCATGCAGGTGGTTGACCGTGCCATCTACTACCTGCGGTATGACTACATCACCATGCTGGACGAGCGTAATGCCAGGAACATGACATTCCCTGCCATCACGCTCTGCAACTACAACTCGTTCCGGTGCTCGCAGCTGAGCTACAGCGACTTGCTTTTCATGGGGCCACTGTTGGGATACGAGGACAACATGGCGCCGGGAATCCCTTTGGCGCCAGAGCCCGACAGGCAAGGGTCTCGATTCAGCCTCGCCGAGTTCTTCAATCGCACCCGTCACAGCATGGAAGACATGCTGCTGGAGTGCAAATTTGCTGGGAAGGAGTGCGGCCCGGAACACTGGAGAGAGGTAGGACCGCGTCCGGATGGACTTGTAGTAAGTAGGAGTCGAGTTTTGGCCCCCGGCGCTCAATCCATTCTCGGCATGCTATTGTTAGGGTGGCTGGCTGACTTTATTTGCGAGAAGATAAATGGACTCTGTGCACTTGAGGCATTAGAGAAGATGAATAGGTGTTCGCACTGTATCTAACAGGAATCAGAAGCCATTTATTCTATGTGTTCAGCATTGCAAATGAAAACAGCATTTCAGACCCCCATTATTACCCTTTGACTGCTCATGATTGATAATTATACGGTGTAGCTTGCTTTTGTGTAACACATTGGCCTGTTTGAAGGCCACTTGAGGGATCTTTTTCTCTAGACTTGCTGCTGAAGTTTTGACATTGTGGAAATTGGTCTCCGGCAAGTGTTTGCATAGATTTGTCAGATTATGATGACAAGGTTATTGTGTGTTGTTCTTCAGGCTTTGTGGATAGTGTTTTTGTAAGGATAAAACTGCGCTGTTTGCAGCTGGTTTCTTCGGAATTAACTGCTTTAAGCTGGAAGCATTAATTCAATATCAAAGCTTTTGGAAAGTGTTAGCTGTGTTGTCTTATATAATATTTTATTATATTTTAAGATTGAATTTTAATAGCCTAAAAATGTTAACTAATATATATCTTTACTTTTCTGTTACTTTTTTCTTAAAAGGTCCTATGTATTATTGTATGGGCTTTCATACATGAAAATATTCAGCTGCATTATATTTTACTGTAGGAAGGTCACTTGCAGTGAGATCATCATATTTGGGGCTGCTTGTCATCAAAGCATTTGAAAACCGTTGATATAGGATGCGAGTTTTCTGTGCAGAGTATCTCTCTAGCGTTCTTCCCCCAAGAGCAAGTCTGAGTCTGCAGCTAATCCCTTTACGCTGATGAAAAGAGGGCCGCCTGTCTATGAAATAGGCATTTTGTTTGTCATTGTTGCTGATCTCAAGGTTTCTAGCCGGCGCTCACGCCATTCGAGATCTCTCGTGAGTTAAGCTCTTATTCAGCTGAGTGAATTATGTGGTGCTTCGCCGTAAAGGCCGAGAATATATCTGGTAGCGCTTACTGAAGAATCAGTTTAGAGCACTTAAGTATATTTAGCCTCCTGCCTGGTAAGTGCATATGGGGTTTTAAACACCACTGGTTGCACTCTGATGATGGGTGTTTATTATCCGATGCCTCCGATGGGATGTATTATCAACCTACTTAAAAGGTGCAGCATGGATAATCTGCCATATGCACACAAACAAAGCATTCAACGACCATAAATACTGTATTATATAATCCACATTTAGTGGTTCAACTAGCTTATCAGTTCATATCAGCTAGCTCTGCCAGTCAATGCTAGTGTTCTTTGCTAATCTCGACCTCGCCTTTAGTGCTTATTTGCTAATCATTCTTGCGACACTAAGAATGTGAGTTCACTGTGTGCGAGTCTTCATCGATTGACAGATATTTAGAAGAGTGCTGGAGCGGGTCGATAGGAGGCGGGCCTGTGCCAAACAGACGGGCTGCTCATCTTTCCGTCCTGGGGCAGAATTCGAGTCCCACTTCCTCCAGCTCCATTATATATGGATCTTTTTTCACCACCAGAGCACAAGCTCACATTTCGCCCTTCTGCACGCCCAGCCATGTGGTCAGCTAACTATTGTTAGGTCAGATAGTGGAGTAGGTTATGACTAACAAATGTCTGTTTGTGACGTTTCAAGATTTTCCTTTCTGTGTTATTGCTTATACTTGTGCTGAATTGTTTATGTTCAAGACATGAATAATACCTAGAATAAAGATACACATACTTGTTTACATGAAAAACAATGCCACAGCCAGTTAGTCTACTTTGAAATGTGCGTTCTGTGTCAGAAGTCTTTTGTCTTTTGGTTTGTGTATTCCACCCACCGCCAATTTACCCAATAGTATTTTGACACCCAGGTTGCCAATTGCCGGAAAACACAGCATATTGCAGGCTAAATGAACTGGGTCAGAGATTGCAGAGTCTACCCGAGCTAAAAAGCCTTGCCATCCAACTAAAAATCTCTATGATCAAAGGAATATTAAAACGTCATCAGCTTACAATTTAAGGTTTGTCGCCTTTCATTCCCACTTGACCCCTGGCAAAAACCCTCCCTCCTTAGTTACTGTTGCTATGTCCGTCAAACCATGCCGCTCTCACACTACACGTTCTCACGCAGTAAAAAATACATCGCGGAGCAAAGAGGAAATTGACAACACGCCGACAGACAACACAGTGCCGGTTACTTCTGGTATTAAACAAGGTCTCAGCTTTCAAATTTTTTATTTTTTTTAAAGAAATTCAAACAATAAATACCATTTTATGGCTCTTTATTGTGTGGTGACATCACTGTATTGCCTCAGTTCAAGTGGCCCAATCCGTCTTTTCATATTTACTTAAAGCACGAAATAAACATGAATGAACATCAGAACATATTATTTCAACCATGGAAAGACATCATTATACACAATTTTTCAAGTTTAAAGGGGTCATATGATGTTGCTAAAAAGAACATTATTTTGTGTATTTGGTGTAATGAAATGTGTTTATGCGGTTTAAGGTTCAAAAAACACATTATTTCCCACATACTGTACATTATTGTTTCTCCTCTATGCCCCGCCTTTCTGAAACGCGTCGATTTTTACAAAGCTCATCGGTCTGAAAAGCAAGGTGTGCTGTGATTGGCCAGCTATCCAGTGCGTTATGATTGGCCGAATACCTCAAGCGAATATTTGGGTTGAAGTGTTCTGGAACAGTGTTGTAAATACAATTTAACCACTGATTTCTAGTCGTGTCCATTTTTGGAAGGCCAAACAAAGTAGTTTCGCTTTCACAACGAAACACAGCGTCACACACGGTGGCCTAGAGTGAGCGGTGGCGGCCTAGAGTGAGCAGAGGCCGGGGGCTAGAGTGAGGAACGGCCGGAGGGCTAGAGTGAGCAGAGGTGGGTGGGTTTGAGAACGGCGCGGGCGGCGATTTCGACGAAGGAGCATCCGGAAGGCTTGCGGCAACCACATGTGACAACCACGGGCTGGACTCCGCTTCGTCCATGGTGAAAGCCGATCCGGCGATCGACAGCGCAAAGTTGATGTATTCCCTCAGCGACCAGCACGGATCAGCTCCAAGCATTTGGGCGGCGTTATGCAAATCTTCCCACATAGTGACGTAGGTATGTGGGGGTGTGTTGGAACGAGCCGTTTTAGGTAGGCGTGGCTGACTCTTAACTTTTATAAAGAATATCTCTTTGGATTTGAGACTTTAGTCTTTGCAACTTTACAGATCTCCTTTATGCATCAAGAGCTTGTAACACTCCAAAGAGAAAGGACAAATTGAACTCGCATCATATGACCCCTTTAAGTCCATCAAAGTTATTCCACTCTCCTGTCTGATTTGTTTGTTGGAAAGCGCTTGTTCCTGTTTGTGTTTCCAGGAGGGGGCAGGAGAAACAACTCTATCCAAAATTTTGAATTTGGACTGCAGTACCCATTTCAACCACTACCTGTCAATATTACATTCTGCACCTTTAATAATCATCCTAATTTTCTGACAATAGGGAAGACCACACTATAAGGACACAGAAGAGTGATATCATTGGAATCACCCTCAGAACAATTTTGTCCAGCTGATGAATTATGCCAGAAAACTTGCCAATCAGAATCCAACTGAGATAAGAGTTTGTGCATTTAAAACAGCAGACATCATAACTGTACATGCTGTGCAACAATGTCTGTTGATGTGGACGCTAATATAGTTATCATTCTTGCTGTGAAGGGGCTCAATAGCCGTGCTAACACTTAACAATCTTCTTAGTGATCGGATTTAATATTTTCACCTGACAAACAGTAAAATGGATGAAAAAATCTTACAGACTTGTGAGACACTCAGGCCATATCTAGACTGGACTAATCTGGACTGGACTCTACGACTAGCTATTTTCTATTAACTACCCGTGTAACTTTTGTTTTTTAAATTATGTAGTTCTTGTCAGATAGATTTAATTTGCCATACACTTTCTGTGAAGGGGCCTCAATAGCCGTGCTAACACTTAACAATCTTCTTAGTGATCGGATTTAATATTTTCACCTGACGAACAGTAAAATGGATGAAAAAATCTTACAGACTTGTGAGACACTCAGGCCATATCTAGACTGGACTAATCTGGACTGGACTCTACGACTAGCTATTTTCTATTAACTACCCGTGTAACTTTTGTTTTTTTAAATTATGTAGTTCTTGTCAGATAGATTTAATTTGCCATACACTTTCTAAGCATATTATTTTTGCTGAAGGAATCAACGTTGTCTAATCTGCTTAATTAGGCTAGTTAAAAAACAACTATTGAGTGAAATACAGTTAATTATAGATGTGGAATCAATAAGTGGGTTGTCATTTAAGACTCTTACAGACAAAAAGCATGCGGGGTCTAGACTTTATCTGATGCTGTATTTGGTGTCTTATAAGTGTGTGCTAGTGTTTAATTTGACCTTGACTGTATAATCTTAACTTGATCTTCATGGTTTATCGGAGGATTGGTGCTGATGACAGCAGCTCATCTAATATTAACAATGCCAGAAGACACATTTCACACCAGCTTCTCTCCATCCCTGGCTCCGTTCCCTTCATAACCCTTAGAAACGCGTACGCAGCGCTCTGAGAAATGCCAATTCATTTCACAGCCATTCAACGATGATGACAGCGATTGCATTGAAAGGTTCCAGCGTTTGACCGAAGGCTTTGTTGTGTATGTCTAGAATTGAAAAATTCGTCCTTTAAAGACTTCATGAATAAAATAAGACTATTGACCAATATAAAAAGCTAATTATTTAAAAATGTCCAGATTCATTGAATTAATGCTGTATAGCAATATGTCATGCGAAATAATAATTAGCATTCAAATTACGAAAATAAAACCCTTTATTATTTAAAAAGGTTGTGCGCAGCTGAAAAACATTTCTAATACATATTTAATACATA